GATTCGTACGAAATCGCCATCCCCAAGAAGCTGAGCTTCCGGGGAGGGGAGCCAGGTGTGGCCAAGCACCTGTTGTACCTCCTGCAGGTTCAAGGGAAGAAGCATGTCCTCCACCTGTGGCCCAAGAGGTTTCTGCTGCCCCGACACCTACCGGTTTTCTCCTTCACAGATGGGGGCGAACTCCTGGAGGACCACCCTTACGTGCCCAGGGACTGCAACTTCATGGGCTTGCTGGAAGACGTGGAGGATTCTGAAGCCACTTTCAGTACGTGCAGTGGGGCCCTCCGAGGCGTGCTGAAAATCGATGCCCAACATTACCAAATCGAGCCCCTCCAGGCCTCTTCCAGTTTTGAACACGTCGTCTATCACCTGAAAGACGAGGAATTTCAGAATCCGATCTGTGGCTTAACTGGTGATGACAGAGAACAGGAGATGGCCCAGCATGAGGACGTGGCCAGGGTTCGGGGCTTGCGTGGACCCCCTATGCATCAGAAGTACTTGGAACTAGCCCTGATCTTTGATCATGAGAGATATTTGTTTTCGAATTCCAATCTCACTAACGTCATAAATGATGCCGTTCTCCTGACTTCGATTGTAGACACTTACTTTCAGGAACTCCGTTTAAGAATACAACTAAGCACAATTGAAGTATGGACAGAGCAAGACAAAGTCAATCTTTCTTTACCGCAATTACAACAAGTGTTAAACCAATTTCTGGTATACCAGAGGAGGGTGCTAAGCGTTAAGTACTCTGTAGATTGGACACACCTATACGTTAAAAGACGTTACCCCGATGCTTTTGCAGGGTCTTGGGGAAAAGTGTGCACTAAGAAAAAGGTTGGATCTGTAAACATTTTTCCAGATGTAAATATCCTTGTCCCTGCTACCCATACTGCTCATAATCTGGGCCATAGTGTGGGGATGGAACACGATGTACTACCTTACTGCCAGTGTAAGGGTAGGCATGATTGCATCATGGGCGTCGGACGAAACGGGTTTAGTAATTGTAGCTATATCCATTTTTTTAACCACGTCCATAAAGGTGCAGACTGCCTAAATAATATTCCGGATAAAACTTATGTGGTTCAGAGATGTGGAAACAAAATCGTGGAAGAGAACGAGGAATGTGATTGTGGTTCTCTAGAGGACTGCAAAGGAGACCAGTGTTGTGAGCCAGACTGTAAATTCAAGCATGGTGTCAACTGTAGCACTGGCCTTTGCTGTCACAACTGCCACCTTCGTCCGTCTGGGTATATATGTCGGAAGGAAGAAAACGAATGTGACCTGGCGGAGTACTGCGATGGGAACTCAAATCTCTGCCCAAATGACACTTATAAGCAGGATGGAACCCCGTGCAAGTATGAAGCTCATTGTTTCAGGAAGGGGTGCAGATCCACGTATATGCAGTGCCAAAACATTTTCGGACCTGATGCCAGGGAGGCTGCTCACCAGTGCTTTGAAGTAGTTAATTTAATAGGTGACCAATATGGGAACTGTGGTATTATGGGAACTAAGACCTATATAAAGTGTACAAAGCAGCATTCATTATGTGGCAGGATACAGTGTATAAATGTCAGAGTTCTCCCCGATATGCCAGATCATACTACGATTACTTCGACTCATCTGCAGGATGAAAATCTCATGTGCTGGAGCATAGGCTATCATCTGTCCTTGGTAGCTTTGGGGATACCTGACCTTGGTGTGATAAATGATGGTACCTCCTGTGGGAAGGACCAGATATGTGTGAACAGAACTTGTATGAGTAAGTCGATCCTGAACTTCGACTGTTTGCCCGAGAAGTGCAACCACAGAGGCTTTTGCAACAATAACAGAAACTGCCATTGCATGTATGGCTGGGAGCCTCCGTTCTGTGAGGAGATGGGGTACGGCGGAAGCATCGACAGCGGGCCGCCGGGACCGCTGAAGTTGGACCTGCCGGACTCCGTTCGGATTGTGTTCCTTATATTTTTCCGCTTTATTTTGTTAGCCATCTCAGTGATCATTGTGATCTTCAGGCGATGGATAAGAAGTTACTTACAGCCCCAACAGAAAGAAACACCACCGCCTGTCACTGCAGAGGAACCACCCAAGGAGAAAACTGTTTAAAAAAAAAGGATCAGGAAATCCACTGTCACTCAGTGACACAGGGTCACACATTGAACAAGCGTATCGTTTACTCGAATGGCTCTTTAGTCTCCCAATTCTTTTTTACTTAATTATTTCTTCAAGATTGATCGGCAAATAAATGATATTATTTGGGAAACGAATCAGTGCGCTTTACTTCTCCCAGGGCTCCCTTGCCCCAGTCTGGGGTCAGGTTTCGGAGGGCCTGAAAAGAACGCCCTGGTGCCTTTCCTGAACACTGGAGCCCGAAAGTTGTCGGTTTCACAGAATCGCAGTGGTCCTGAGCCCTCTCAGAATCCCAGCACACAGAGCGGCTCTCGG